CACTGAGAAATGATATGGTGCTAATAGTCTTGTAAATTAATTTAAAATTTTTTGGAAAAGCATAAAAATGGTTATTCCCTGAAATTATACTATGGAAATGTTATGAAAGAAGAAAAATGGTCACTCTACAAAGATACACTTTGTAACATTAGGTGTAATAGTGACAGATTGAAAATTAACTCAAATGTTCAATAGTATAGAGATACTTTGATGAATTGTGTGATAAAATCAATTTAATGATATTTTGATTATTATTTATATTTATTTTGATTATTAATAGGAAGACAGTGCTGAAATAGAAAATGTTTAAAGAATACCATATTTCATTGAATCTCAGATTCCATCAATTATGCCTTTATTTTATGAGCCATCAAGAAGGAAAAACTCTAACAGTTGAACTTTGACACAATATCAAATGATATGTGAATTGCTTACACTAGCTTCTTGGAAATTTGATGTATCTGTCACTTATTCCAAAGGATAATAAGCAGCAGTTTCTCCTCCCTTCCTTTGTATCACAGGGCAATCTTTTCAGATGTTATATCAGTAACAGAAGATAACACAGCTTTGTCTATTTGTGGGAATCTTCCTTTCTAGAAGGTCTTGTAAAGCTCCTGCTTTCTTCCCCCAAGAAAAATAAGGAATTGCATATAATCTTCCATCAATGAATATTTGCTTCACTAATAATAAATTTAAACCTCATTGCTCTGTTCCATGCCTTTATACATAAATATAGCCTTTTTTATTAATAATCTTTCTAAAAACATTTTGTTGCATTTTTTTTTTTTTGAGACAGGGTCTTGCTCTGTTGCCCAGGCTAGAGTACAGTGCCATCATCATAGCTCACTGCAACCTCAAACTGCTGGGCTCAAGTGATCCTCCTGCCTCCTCCTAAGTAGCTGGGACTGTAGGCGTATGCCACCACACCTGGCTAATTTTTCTATTTTTTGTAGAGACAAGGTCTTGCTCTTGCTCAGGCTGGTCTCAAACTCTTGGGCTCAAGCAATCCTCCTGCCTCGGCCTCCCAGAGTGCTAGCATTACAAAGCATGACCATCGTGCCTGGCCCTAAAAATTACATTTTAAATGGCAATTAAATTTACCATGAATAGTACAATGTACATAATGCAACCGAAGCCACAACATATGAAGAGCTATTCGTAGGTTTGCACGTGAGCAGGCAGTGGCAACTGTGTCACAAATGCTGCCCAGCTGCCAGTGATTGTAAAACACATGCTGATTTCAGAAATGTTAAAATGTGAAAATATATTGGTCTTAAAAATGATGAAATAAATATTAAAAGTAAGAAGTATTTCACTCAAGGTTAATATTATTTTAAAATATGTGTGCTAGTGGATAAAAAGAGAGATTATTTGTATTCTGTTTTTCAGTATGAAGTGAGACTACTAAATATTTCTGATAAAAGTGCAACTTGATAGAAATATAAATTGAAGGGATTCTGTTATTTAACATCATAGGTATGTAAATTTTGAGGGAAACAAATTTTTACAATGTATATATAGGATTTTATTGAAAGTATATTATTTTATTTCTGTTTTAGGAAACCCAAGGAAACACATAGCATCCCTGAAGAAAGCTGTAGATATGACCTGCCATGGAGAACCATCTCTTTATAATTCCTTAAGCATAGCTATGCAAACTCTAAAGTTAGTATTTTACATTTATTATTTATAATTGATTTAGAAGTTCTTTGTATGAGTTAAGTTAAAATGCTAGTGTGTTAATATGGGTCTTCACAAACCCAGCTATAACAAAATCATTAACTAGGAAAAATATGTATTGTCATTTATGATGTTTAGTATGGTGTTTGTCAGTAATTTTTATTTCACATTTTAGTAGGTGAGGTATATCTGTAATGGTTGTAGAAAAATATTATTAAAACTGTAGGCAGTATCAATAATACAAAGAAATATGTTAATGGAAAAAATATTTTATTCAAATGGATTATGTACAGAATTTAGTGTGGTATAATTCTTGTGAGTTGGTTGTATCTTTATTAACATTTATTAATTTATTTTGTAATATGTCTGTAAATTAATAGCACACTTTTCTGGCAAGTTCAGATATGTGGAGTATAGCTAAGACCCCAAAGAAAATATTCAAAATAGTTAAAGCTCATATTATTTTATCTCTGGATAGTCTGCCCTGGCTCAGATTTTATACCTTTATATAATAGGTGTTTTTCTAGTTTTGAAGTAGATGAGGAGGTAACACGTGTGATGAAGGTAAGCGCAAGTGGGAGCTGAGAGTGTAACAGTGAAAATATAAGCAGGAAAGCTGTAACTAACTGATAAAATTGCTCCAAAAAGCATAGAAATCTCTAGTGTAGGTGAAAATCGCTCAGGATATCTGAAAACCCCACAAGCCACCATTTAATTATATGGCATACAAGATTAATGTTTATGATTATTATGACTCTAAATCAATATGAAGATAAATTATAGCAGTCTCCCCTTATCTGCCGTTTTGCTTTCCGCAGTTTCAGTTATGCGTGGCACTAAAATATTACATGGAAAACTCCAGGAATAAACAATTAATAAATTTTAAATTGCATGCCATTCTCAATAGCATGATGAAATCTTGCACCTTTCTCCTCTGTCCTGCCTGGAACGTGAATCATTCCTTTGTCTTGTGTATCCATAGTGTATATGCTACCTGCTCATTAGTCACTTAGCCTCCTTGGTTATCAGATGGACTGTCTTGGTACTGCAGTGCTTGTGTTCCAGTAACCCTTATTTAACTTGATAGTGGGCCCAAAGCACAAGAGTACTGATGCTGGCATATTATTACAATTGTTCTATTATTATTGTTGCTAATCTCTTACTGTGCCTAATTTATAAATTAAACTTTATTATAGGTATGTATGTACAGGTATACCTCATTTCACTGTGCTTTGCTTTGTTGTTGTTGTTGTTGGGGGTTCTTTTTGTTTTTTTTTTTTTAGACAAAGTCTCACTCTGTTGCCCAGGCTGGACTGCAGTGGCCTCATCACAGCTCACTGTGACCTGGCCTCAGGCGATCCTCCTGCCTCAGCCTCCCAAGGAGTTGGGACTATAGGCATGCACCACCACGGCCAGCTGATTTTTCTATTTTTTGTAGAGATGGGGTCTCACTCTTGCTCAGCTGGCCTCGAACTCCTGGGCTAAAGTGATCTTCCTGCCTTGGCCTCCCAGAGTGCTAGAAACCACCAAGCGCAGCCTGTGCTTTGCTTTATTGAGCTCTGTAGATACTGCATTTTTTTAAAAATTGAAAGTTTGTGGCAACTCTGCGTGAAGCAAGTCTCTTAGCACCATTTTCCAACGACATGTGCTCACTTTGTATCTCCGTGTCACATTTTGGTAATTCTCACAATATTTCAAAATTTTTCGTTATCATATGTGTTATGGTGATCTATGATTAGTGAAATTTGATGTTACTTTTGTAATTTGGGGGGCACCACAAACCACACCCATAAAAGATGGTGAACCTAATAAATATTGCATGTGTTCTGACTGCACCACCAGCTGTACGTTCCCCCATCTCCCTCACCCTCCTCAGGCCTCCCTGTTCCCTGAGACATATTA